ACCAACACGAGGGGCAGTACAATACTAATTTTGTACTTGAGCGAAGTGAGGAAAGTCGTGTAAAGTGCCTTTCCCAAGGGCACAAGATCGGTGGCATGTCAAGATTCGAACCCGGGACCTCTTGGTCCTGAGCCGAATACGCTACCGCTACGCCATCCGACCCCAAACACCTTACCTTTCGTCATTTCTTTCCGTGGAAAAAATAACAGAATCATATTCGTAGCTAAACCACAACAAACACGATGGTCAGATTTGGGCCCAAAAGTCCCAATCCGCTACTATGGAGATCGAATCCCCCGAACCCGCGAATCTTGTTCGATATGACGTCATTCGAATAGAGCGGGCGTTCGATCCGGGGTTACCCGCGGTCATTTACAGTAAAGCCGCTACAACCGGCTACTTCAAGCCCTTTTTTACTTGGGAACCACGGAACAGGAAAAATCCACCTTTCCACAAATATGAACCGTTTTCAAAACATTACATCTATGCCGTGATTTTATTGTGGATATGTAACATGTAACGAAGCTACTGCCGTCATCGTGGGTGACCTTAAAGGTCAGAATTCTTGTATACGCTGTTATAAAATCCAGGTCCCCATATCCAAGTGTCATAGCACGCGTGCAAACATGGTATTTTAACCATTCCCAAAAATCGCTCAAATTACCTCATTGAGGGCTTGTTTGGAAGAGCAACGATTTCCGCAGATTTCTGTCTTAGGGATTTTTTAAATATGGCCGCGATTATGAATTATCGGTATTTAAAGTTAAAACACTGCGTTTTTAGCTCTTCTTTTGACTGTAAGTCGAGTTTTAGTTAAAAAATAAAAAAATCCTAAGACAGAAAGTTTAAATTTACTGTAATATTTCAAAAAATCCAAAAATCTAACCTTATTTTTAATTTTCGGGGCCTCTTAAAATCAGTTGTTTGGTTCTCGTGAACCCTTTTTGAAATCCGAAATTGATCTCATTTGGAAGCAAATGTACACAAAGTGGAGCAAAGACAGTGCAAGAATAACATTTGAGGTAAACAAAATCACTTATTACATTTTATTTTGACGAGTATTTACTCTCCAATTACTTTTGTTTATTTTCAAATTTTACCCGTTGCCCCCGGGCCGGCCTGGGACTCCCGCGCGGCCACGTTCGAACACGTTCTGTAACCCGATACCTCCCTAGTAATGCGACTTTTAGCCTAGCAACCGACCGCCGTGTACGCAGCACTAAGTACATGTACAATGGACTGTACATGTGTTCCAAATGTTTGTAATTCCAAAACAACTCTTCTGAACTACAGCAGCACCACCCAAAAGTATTTGTTAGGTAATTCAAACTCTAACTCTGTTTGTATTACCTCTGAGTATTGTTTACTAGGATGTTAAACCATCACCAACCTAATCTTAACTGCTCTGAGAATTTATGAGCATTTTCATTAGTTAAGTTTATGCATTTTCCATTAGTGAAGTTTATAAATGCACCTTTGGAATCCTAGGATAAATGCAATTAACAGTTACACTTTCCACAACAAATACTGAAGAGCTGCCTACCATTCATGTCTTTGGCTTCCAAGTCCTTCCCCTTCAGAATGTTCAACTCCATCAGTCCATGGCCTGATAACATTTAAAACAAAAACAGGTATGACTGATAACTGGGATAGCATATGGTGTACTGGTACTGTACAGCAATTATATCAAAGATGCTTGGGTACATTTTAGTCACTATAAACTGAATCGATGTAGAAAAGTTTATGGGAAAGTAAACCAATTCACAAGGTATGTCTCTACTTTTTACCTTGATTGATACATGTACTTACCTTGACTTACCCCTGAGAGTGCATCTGGTTGCTTAAACTTGGACTGTGAAATAAAATCATAATTTGTCAGTGATTATGTTCTGTTGATAAACCTTTCCAGGACTATGTTGTTTCCCTTTTAGTTTCATAATAATTGAAAAGTTGTTTGGCACAAAATTGGAATACCCATTATCAAACATTGCATATAGGGAGCACATTTGTAGAAAAGACTGCTTCTGCACGAAACCATTCTTTCTGCTGGACATTTAGTCAACATTACATCAGAATTTTGTCCGTGGCATACTCTTCTTGATACAATGTTTTAAAACTACAGATCTGATGTCATCCGTACATACACAGACATGACCTTAAACAACATGTTCAGTAGAAGTGCTATGCCCATTTTTGGGGGGACAGACACATTCTGCTGAAGTGCTCAACTAGGGTAAGTAGAACCATACCAAAACTTGGTAACGGGAGCATGGTATTTTCCCATATATGCAAATATAATTCATTAATATATGCAAGATTTATTCATACATGCAAGCACGTGCATACATTACTACAACTTGTATACCCTATGTATCATAAGCAATTCATTTTACGTATAACGTTACCCCTTTGCACTCTCATTCTTTCTACCTCAACCTAAGGCACTCCCACACACCCCTGCACACTCTTACGCACCCTGTGCACTCCCACGCACCCTGCGCACCCCCATGCAACCTGTGCACTCTCATTCAACCTCCC